ATCCTCAAAACTGAACCCGATCAAGAGTTTCTCGGCTTCATGCTTGAAACAAAGCCATTGGAACTTATCTATCAGGGCCCTACCAATGTCTCTCAAGTCCTCTCGCCTTTCTCAGCATCTCCACCCAAAGTTCTGCTGAGTGGCTTCCGATCTCGATGCCACATTGTGGTCAAAGGAGCATTCCCGGAGTTTCGTATTCGACAAGGTCTCGACCAATTAATTCATTTGTACACCCTTGCTGCTTTTCCCAAGGAGGAACTCCACAACATGCATCAGAACCTTCAGCCGCATGAGCAAAAATTTGCTAACTTCGTCGAGTACCCATTCTTGTGCATGTAACGGTTTCTTTCGGTCGGTGGTTTCTTGTTCTTGTTTTTTGGTTTGTGTTTCTTCTCTTTTTCTGTTTCTGTCATCAATACTTACATTTCTCTCCTTCCTTCTTTCAGCTTGGCTCAAACTCGTCTCCCTCTCTTCGCTTCTCTATTGCCACCGTGATCATGGACCACGCTCAAGGCAGAGCATTCCGCCACCGTCTGGCTCGGGCAATCATGCATTTGAATTACCTCGCGGGCCTCCTGCCATTCTTTGAACCATCTATTGAATGGGACGACCCAACCCCTGACCACCAGTTCCGAACCCTGCTTCCAGAAGCCTCCATACTTTCGTCCCCTTACCTGCCTCGTCCAACCCACCAACGATGGTCTCACATGGAGGCATTCCGTCACATATGGTCTTGAATCCCGAACCAAACCTGCGCCCTCTTAGGATGGCCAGCTATTCACGGGAAGAAGAAGGACACAATCCTAGCATTGATGTCACAACCCGGACTCCTGTGCCCAGTGGAGGACACGCTTCGACTACGCCTCCTGACAACCCGCAATGGACCACACCAGCACCTGGTCTTCCTCGCGCGACCACCAGAATCACAACACCTGTCCCAGTCCGATCCAAGCAGCGATCCACTCCGACTGAAGACCCACAACCCAAGAAGAAACAGAGATCAACTTCGGGCCCAGACTCCACGTCACGCCCTCCATCTCTCCCCTATCATTTCAGAGATCCCACGCACAGGTTTCAATTCGGATGACTCTGATGAAGATGCCGCCTCCAAGGCTCCATCAGCGCACGAAACTTCAGCGATGGACACCGGTCCAACTGCAACCACCACCATGCCCTCAACTACCCACACAAGTCCACCAGGCACTTCAACTCCATTGGTCCTTACACCAAATCCCACCATACGTATCCTCCAACCTGCTGATACTACACGAGCTCCCGGTGATCCACCGTACCGACCTTGGACGGACATGGACGATCAAGAGCTGATCAATCTCAAGAATGACACCAAATCCCGTCCTTCATGGAAAACAATTGGTGCTCGGCTACGTCGTGATCCTCAGGTAGTATGCAAGATGCGATGGACGATCCTTAAACAAATGCCTGACCAACACGGTCGCATCCCGCCTCCTCACGAGCCAGAGGCAGAAGATTAAGAGGCGCTGACACCACAAAAGGAGAAAAAGGAGTGTCTGCCTCTTCATTGTCAAACAATTTAGGGTTCTCTTCGCCGCTTTCAGTGTCTGTCCGGTTGTAAGTTAGCTTTCTGGTTGTCATAACTTTGTACATGTCTTAGTCGTTATGGCTCACTCTTCCGATTATGTACGAATTGTCCCAGATCGCTCCCGTTCCCGGGACGATCCCATGTGGCCGCATCGCAGTTACTCTCGACAGCGCCATTCTCAATACCATGACTCATGGCATGAAGTACCACCAGTGCGGCAACCTCGTCGGGTCTTGATCATTGTCAATTTAGAAGCTGCGCAGCCGGTCATGAACGCCCTTCATCTTGACAACATGGCAGCAACAACATGTCGTGAACTTCCCTCACTCGGAAGGCTGGAAGAACATGCCTTATTCACCTACAAAACGTTGGTCAACCCTGCCCAAACTCGTACCTTGACGGTAGAAATCCTGTTGTACTACATTAGCCAGCACATCGTATACACTTGAGACTGCTATGTGGAACCGTCCTCCATGGATCTTCGTTGGCAAGACATCACGGGAGATACCTTTGCGCTTCGCAACGGACAGACCCTCAGTGACTTGCTGAATGAGCATCGACCGCACTGGACTGAAGGCCAGGAATTTGGCATTCTCCTGCCAAATGAAATTCGTGCGTTTGATAGTCCGAACCAACCTTATATCATGCGACTGAGCTGCCATGAGGCCCTCGCGAATCCCATCATGCTTCCATGATCCCTCAGGTGCAAAAAAGCTGTTACACGTCCCTGCTACTGTTACCACCCTGTCAGTTTATCATTTCCATACATTACATTTAATTTCTGCCATTCTCGCTGCTTGTCCTCGTTGTTTTGATCATGTCATGTCTGCATCATTCCTTTTTCCTTCCTTTTGGCTTAAGGGTTTACCATGACAAAAAGGGATTCCGTTTGTGCTGGCTTCGACTCTCCTCGAAACCTTGCGAGCATGCAACGACGTCAGTTCACCCTTCACTTCCAACCCAGAAGCGGCGCTGCTTCGTCGGAAGATGCATCATCCTCAGCCCATGCTATGAGTTCCTGGGACCATCATCCAAATCAGACCCATGAACCCGCTCATGGCATGATGTCTTCCAATGCTCATCCATATGGATACACATCAGAGGCTCCTCCCGTTCCTCTACCACCGGATGCCCAATCATACCCTCAAGGGGAAGCATATCCGTTACAGGCTGAAATTCAACAACAGCATCGAGTGCTTCATACTCACATTTTCAAGGAGGTTGTGTCACCTCACCAGTCAGGTCGTCCGAATCGCCTTATGGTGACGGAAGTCGATTGCCGCGGATTCCAACGGAACCGCCAGCCGGAATTCTTCTTCAATGGCATTGTTGGTCATGTGAGAGCAGACAATTATGGAAACATAGACAGCTGGGCGCAAGCTACCCAGCTCGCCAATTACTGGCGTCGTTACTTCAACATCCCCAAAGTGCATGAAGAGAGCGCCTCTTGGCAAAATTTCCAGCAACCGTCTGACAATGCTGATCGAAGATCTGATGACCAAGAAGAGCTACCTGCATCCGAAATGGAAGACAGCGAATCGGTCACTGCCAACATTGGCACCGGTTCCAAGTCAGATTCACCAACTGGCCACCGTCCTTCACAACATTCTCAACAGTGACAGGGAATCCAATGCAGCGATCCTTGAGAAGCTCGAGAATCCAGATGATGACTTGAGTGCCAGCCCGATCCAGGTATTTGGGGCTGCAGATTTGGCTCACCTTGCCAGCCATTTGGCATATACGTCACAGGTCCTAGCCAGGCAGGCCCAGGAGATGGAGGACCTATCTGATATCGACGATTAGCCCCACTACGTGACGCAACTCTATGACCTGTAATGAGCAGTCCGGCTAATTCATTTGCATTTCTTTCCCTGCATTTTGATTTCGTTGAAACACCCTGCCTCAGGGAACATAAAAGAGCTGTGTGACAGTCCGTGCATCTGCTGCACAAAATGGCCTCGCGGCAGCGGGGCGTGTGTGTGTGTGTGAAACATCTGAAGAGATGTAAAACTTCTAACCGCTGCTTTTCATGGTTTGAACATGTTATTTGTTCCTATGAAGGGGGCTGCAGGGAATGTCATAGTTCTGCAGCCAACGAAGACGGCTATGACATTCTGTGATATCGATCTGGGACGCTGGATCGACGTACCTGCTTTCATTTTTTCCATGTCAATTTCTGAAATGGCGACCGGCCAAGCCAAGAACCGGCATGTCGATTTGATTTACGTTTCTTGTCAAGTTCTGCACTGTTGCCACAATCTGAAAATTTCTACGATCAATAGAGGATGATCGAGCTGCATCAGAACGAGTTGATTCTTCTAGCAAGGACGTAGAGCGATTTACTTCGCAATGTTTCTCACTTCTGGTCATCCAACCACTCCTATCAGGTTTAATTGAAGTGTTTCTGCACGTAAGATGCATTCCACATCAGAATTCGCAAAGATGTTTCTGAGCAAGTGTGAACGACACGCGTGCGAGTGAACGTACGTGCGAACGTATGTATGTACGAGTCAGCGTACGTGCGAGCGAAAGTGTGAGCGTACGTCCATGCGTCCGCACGGTCACTCGCCACGCGCGCGCGTACGTACGAAAAGAAGGTCGACTTGAGTCGACCCTATTTTTATTTTCGCTTCGCGCGTACAGAAATTGAAATAAGGTCGATTAAGGTCGACTTGAGTCGACCTTATTTTCGTACCTGCGCTCGCGCGCGGCCAGTGAACGTGCAAACGCATGCGCGTACGCGCGCACGTCCGTCCACTTGTACGCACATGTCCGTTCACTGGTTCGCTCACACGTGCACTCGTCCGTTCACTCGTTCGCCTTACTTACGTTCGTCACCAGGTCCGTTAGCCGCTCGTACCCCCTACGTTCACCGCGTTTGTTGGAGCTATAAAACCATTGTTTACGAGGCCAAAAAAAAACTAGAATAAACTAAAATATATAGCCATTCAAAGGCATGAACAAAAGAGAGCAAAAGATAACGCAGACAAACACTAAACACACAGAATAGATTAGCATAGAGGACGCAGATGCCCCAAGTGCAGGAGAACATGTGTCTATTTGTTTATGCCTCTCTCCGTCCCCTCCCCTCCCTCCCATCCACCCACCCTCCTTCCCTCCCCCCCATCCATCCACCCACCCACCCACCGTCCATCCATCTATCCACATTCTTTGTCAAATAGGGTGCTGGAGCGGCAGATACAGTAGGTGAAGCAGAGGTTAAACTGTGAGAACACAGGAAACCAAGGAAGACAGAGAATGTCAAGTGTGTTTGCGCAGGGACAAGTATATCCCAGACAGGGACCGGCTTACTGTTGAGTTTTGTTTCACTGCAGTCTCTTTATTTCTTCCAAGTTTTTTCTATTTGCGGAGGGTTATGCTGGTACCTCCTCATTCCTTCTGCTCATCTCTACGACTTTCGACACGTTCTCACTCCAAGGAAGTGAAGAACTTCGCCTGCCTGAGGGTTCCACGTTATCTTCTGCAAGGGCAAGATATGGTCAGTTTTCTGCTCATGATCAACATGACCTGCATGATCATGGCCGGCGGCTTAAATTTTTCAGGTAGGGAGTGCAATATGTTGTCATTGAGATACCTTCAGATGATGACGTGTATGAGAACAGAGCGGGCCGGGAGGTGCGTATAGTTTCTCAAAAAAATGCCCTTAGACATTGAAAACGGCAATTACCGGGTTGATACTTTCTTTTCAGGGACGTATACTAGAACGCGCGGGTCTTCCAGAAGCGTCGATAAAAGGCGGCAGTGCTCATGTCTTCCTGCATAAGATGATACTACTATCGAAGGTCTCTTGAAAAAGGGTGGACTTTGAAGATTCGTTTGAAAACTTCCAAACAGCGCAGTGGTTTCCAAATGGTGTTTTCAGTCTGCTACTACGAGATGACAATGTTTGGTCGACCAGAGCTACAAGAACACCAAAACACAAAAGTCGCCCTAGTGGAAGCCATGCGTTCTGAACTTCACCAGCGGTAAGAATGTCAAGTTGAAAGTTCAAAATCCGACAGTGGCGCTTTGCGTTCAGGCCGAGCCAAAGAGAAAAATCTCACTGCGTCTGACTCGAAAGCTAGAATACTGGCTACCCTCTGTGTTGGCTTGCACCAAATATGCACTGTTTCCTTTGATTTTTGGGGTTGCCTATTTTGATAAACACCCCGCAAACAAAATCAGCCGGGGCAATTTTTTACTGTACAAACTAAGGAGGTTTCAATTGAGTGCGTATCAACAGGACAGATTCTAGGCACGACATGACGGTATGACACGACACACCCTGACCGACACGCGGAGGAAAATTGACGCTGAAGCATATAACCTGCATGCCTGATATGGCTTGGCATCCCTTTGTGGCATTTGATGTGTGCTGCACGGTACGTCCAACTAAATAGAGAAGGTACTGCGGTGATACCAAAAGGTCTGACCTGACGGTTTGGGCATGCCCGGGCCCATGAAACTTCTCTGGATGGTTGAAGTTGACTTACAGCGACTCCAGGCCGCCGCAGCCCTCAACTGCACAAAGCAGAAACGATATGAAACAAAAATAAATTAAACAACATAGAAAACGTCAGAAACCGTCAGAAACATCCCCGAGCGCAACATTGTTCACAAGTGCCAAAAGGGTGGAGATCACCCGCAACTGAGCATCAAGAGATGGAAACTGAAGAGATGATAAAAGAGCAGCCAGACAGACAGACCAGACAGACGGACGGACAGACAGACCGACAGACCGACCGACCGACCGACAGGCAGATAGACAGACAGACAGACAGACAGACAGACAGAATCGAGAAGAAACAGACAGGGCACTGCAGTTCCAGCTGCATATGATTCAATGGCTCGATTTGAGAAAGAATGGAGTTGTGAATGTGTTCCTTCTAGGACAAGCGGGGGCCAGTTTTATATGATGTTGTCTTGCTGCAGACAAAGAGCAACGTCGGCTTTTATGATTACATTCAAAACGGGTTTTAAAGCGACTTTCAAAAATTGTATGACACCGACGAAAGAGCTATTATGATGATTATGGCAAAACTCGACCAGATCAGCCTTCACAAAAAAAGTTCCACAACGGAGGCTGAACCAATGATTCATTGTCTTGGGAGCACTCAGGCAAGGCCTGGGACGGACAAAAGGGACAAAAACGGTTCATGAAATTGGCGAAGTGGACTACATTGACAAGAGGGGCTGGATGCCACCATGGCATTGCATTGTGTTTGACAGAATCCGGAAGACACCAGAGAATGAAGCGGACAATGAAGTTGGTAGAAGCGCATGCGGCAAGGTTCGACAAAATTTGACCATGTTTGTGATATAGTTGAAAAAAATGGAAATCAGTTCAATCAGAATTAAAGGACTGGAAACAAATGGATTGTTTAAATGTGAGATTTAGAGCGTTTTGTCGTTTGAACATAGGCTCATGAACTGTCCAGGACATCGTTGATTTTAGCTGTGAAGCCTGGACAGATGAAATGAGTTCCTTGTCGTGCACGCCTTTTGTGAGTCAAACGGAGATTGTCGAAATTGTCAAATTTGTCAAGATATTTGATGCGTCGTGCTTGATTATTTTGTTTGCTGCATGTCATCATTTTCACTTTTGTAATATTTGTAATTGCTGAATTGTCACAATCATTGGCTGCAACTGAGGCTTTGCCTATGCAGTCTTTCTGGTGGCGGGCATCTTTTTGCAACTTGGCAGGGCAGAATTCTGCTGCAATGACTATATGGTGGATGACAGGATTTTCCCATGATTTTCATTCAGGCTACACTACGAAGTGCAGGGACAGAATTACACCGAGAGATCAATTGATTTCAAGGTACACCATCTTGGTTTTGGACATTGGGAACATCTCCATAGAGCTCTGCGAGTACAGGGTCTTGTGCTTGCATGCCTTGAAGCAGGTCAGAGCCTTGTGCTTGCAGCGACGCAGATTGACAAGTCGAATAAATGACACAAGATGACAAAAGTAATCGCATCATATCGCATTTATCAGCAGGCTCTATCAGATTCCGGTGAGACTCTATAACAGTATGTCACGTCAGCTCATGTGATATGTCACGCGTCAATGCATGTTTGCGTTTCCAGGTGATGCTTTGCATCGGGGCTATCTCCATCACAACCTTCATATTCTCCTTTGCCATCACGGCAATGGTTCTCACCCATGAGGTCCGCGTTTTGCATGTGTTTCATTCGATGTTCTTCCATGCTTTTCCTCTGCATTTTGGGACAAAGCCGACATGATGAAAGCGATTGGAACAATTTAGGGACAGATTGGAACAATTTGCAATAATTTATATAGGGACTTCACGACGTCCTAAAGATCCTAAAAGTCAATGAGTCAATGAGCCCAAGTCTTTGGCTTTGGTCTTGATGTTTCGAGTGAAGCTGTCCGTATTGTGGCCTCGTTTGTAAATGCAGCGAGAGCGGCCCAGGGCGCAAACCTCATGGGTCATGAGTCTCGACAGCGAAGTCTTCACCAAGGATTGTTTTTTACATTTGCAATTCCTTTATCTTTGCCGGTATTTTGGTGCACAGCAGAGTGAACAATGCCATACAATGCCCAGAGTCACAGCACTGAGGAATGGGCTGAGATGGGAAGTACTATGTCTACTTTAGCTCAATTGGCTCTGGGTCTCATGGATTTGGTTGGTGCCTGAGCACAGCGCGATGACGCATCAAGACTTAGCAAGGGCCACCGCACAAGTTCATGCGCTGCAATTGACGCGAAGCCAAGCTGGAGCTAATGATAATTAAAGAATATTAAAGATCTAGAAAGTATTGGAACACGTTGGAACACATTGGAAACCAAGTTGGGCACCTTTGGGCTCTTTGTGCATACGCTGAATAGCCCAGCCGAGCAGAACCAAGGGTGAGTTGCACCATTTGAGCGAAGACAGTCCTTTCCTTCTTGTAGTGCCTCGGTCACATTCAGCCAACAAATTCAGCCAACTTTTCCTGGTTGAATATGCTGAGTAAAGAAACATTAGGATCATTAGGATACAGGGACTGATGTGTCTGAGTTCAGGGCATTCTCACTGCTGAGGTCGTTGCTCTGTTTGTGCTGGTAGTGTACAGTTTCTTCTTCAATCTTCTAATATCGCACCCTGGCATACCCTGGCTTCCAGTGTCGTGGTTCCGCAACTGGAGCGCGGCAAATCACAGAGCAACTTTCTCTTCAAGCTCAGCCCATACTTACTGTATATGGCAACGTGCCAAAGATTTTGCAGCACGAAATCTATGTTGTTCATCTCTGCCGCTATTCACTGTTTCACGATGTCATCCCATGATGTATCAAATCTTTCACATGCTGATCGTTTTTCCTAGGCAGTTCTGCGGTGTTTACTCGTCACTGTCCGCAGACATCAAGGGACATGCCAGGCGATTCCCATTGAAGTTTCAACAAAAGTTCTCGCATGTTCACGCTGCAAAGCTCCGGCTTTGATCCGACCAAGTCCTGTGGAATGAAAATTAAACGCTGCAAGTTTTTTCCATCCGAATCTTCGTGAAACGTTCATGTTGTTTGGGCAATTGAGATAGTTAGAGATAGTTCAGAACTTGTCGACAGGCTTGCGAGAGGGCAAATCATCCTCGAGACCCTGAAGGCAACTGATGTTTTTGCTTCCCAAAAATAGGAAATGGTTGAGTTGAACCTGGGGGGAGTCAGGTTGTCCAGTCTGGGTGAGATAGGTGTATCCGGTCCTTGTCAAATTCTGGCACGTTTGGTTTGACGCATGTGTGCAGCAGCGGGGTTCTATGCATCCGCGGAAGAGACCATGCATGACCATGCAAGAGAGGAACTCTTGCAAGAAGCCCAAGCACGGAAAACTCAGAATCGTAGTGCCCGTGGCCTGTTGGGTGGCTTTCACCAGTGCATGAGGCGGGCTTCTGCTTGACATGTTTTGGGCCTGCGGGACTTGGGCGCTCCAAGCAGTGCAGGGTTCTAGGTTGGGATGGCTGATCGGCAGTCGGGGGTAGTCAGGGGTCCTGTTTGCCACGGTTTTCCCGTTTGATAAACAGGCTTGTACTGTAGCTCGCACAACGCGCAAAACGGGCTGCAACGAAGCCGAGCGAAAACAAGCTGTGTCAAGGCAACCTGCAGACTATTGATTTGATGCAGAATTGGTTGCAGTAAATACTTGCAGCCCAGCTGGTGCTGCACTCCAGGACACAACTGGTTTCAAAACGTGCCACTCCAGATAGATGCCTGATAAGAATGAAAGCGTTCGCGCTTTCCCAAATCAAAGTTCTTTAGCACCCCAGAATTGGAGACCCCCTGAACGTTTCCAAAATAGATGCCTTGTGGCAATGGACGCTCTGAATCCTAGGTCTCAGATGGTTTTAGATACCATTTCATCACAAAAGAATGCTGCAAACATGTTGTTGAATGATCTGGGCGCATGATTTCACCCCTCCACAGCACCCTTTTTGTTTGCATGCGGAATTTTCACATTCTGTATGTGAGTTGTTTTCCTTTTTTGGTTGCATGTGATGATTTGGTGTGCCTCTGGTCAGTTGCACTTCCTGATCTGACAGCTGTTTGCTTGAGTTGTCAGTTCTGGATTTTTTGTTCGCCAAATCATGTTTATTTGAGTTCGTGTTTGTTGATGGTTCTTCTTTTCATGTGTGCTGCTTGTTTGAAATACGTCTCCGTTTTGTGTGGCCGGCTTGTGAGTTTCATGTGGGTTTGTGGTTTCGTAATTGCAAGGTGAGGCCCCCTGGATACGTAAGTTGCCTTTTATTTTGGTTATCTATAGGGTTTGGGGGCGGTGTAATTATAATAATTAATTATAGACATATTATAGACTATAGGTATAAAACGGGTGTTTCGAAACCTAGTTATAACTTGGGAGCCCCACCTTGTATGAATTAATTATAATAGATACACATGGTTTACATGTGTTTCGTACTTGTGATGTTTCTTGCGAGGTACAGTGGGAATTTGCATAATGTCACTCGCGCACTTCATTCTAATTGGCTTGGGCTTGTCCAAATAGGCTACCTGTGATTTTCTTTTTTGCTGAATCCGTTTCTTTTGCATTTGCATGATATTTGCATGTTTCATGAATTCCTTATACATTATTTGTGGATTTGCTGTGCGCCTTGTGAATTGCATTCTTTTTGGGCAAAACAAGTGTGAAGTGCTTTGCAGATTACGAACTGTCATTTTGAGCCTGACCACTTAGAGGATCGGTAGGTGGCAAGACTTGTGCCCTGTGCTGCGCTATTTGTGTTACTGGCGCGTTGTATGGCATTTATATGTCTGGTTGGGTTTAGAATTATGTTTCAAAAAACTGTCAAGTGAAGAGCGAATTTTGATTGCACCGTTGATGTACTCACTATTTATGTTTGATTTAGAAATTGTACGCTAATATTTTACAGAGCACAAATCAGCCGCATAAAAACTGCGCACACCATGCACGTTTTTTTGCCCAAAAAAAAGCACCATTTATTTGTGCATTTTTTGAAACACCATCCTGCTGATTGAACTATTTGATGAGACTGGGAGACAATCGCAGACAATTGAAACATCAAAAAAACTGTTTCAACATAGTTCCCACTTCAAGTGCGCTCACAAGCCCATTCACAAGTGGATAAGTTTTGTTCAGTGAGAAATGTGAAACACTTACATCAACCACGCCAAAACATGCATCAACACGTATAAGGATTTCATTCGTGGAAGTCACCAGATAGGTGAAAGTAGTTCAGCAAAACGGATTGACCAACAAGAATTCCGCATGAACCAATGATAAATGATGCGCGCATTTTCTGAGAACATGCAGAACCAACATGCTCCAATAGCGCAAAGTGTCAAATGAACCTTTCAGAATATGGCCGGTTTCAGTCAAGATCTTGAGCGAATGCTTTGGAGAGGCGTCCCGGGGGAATGATATAATTTGACGAAAAGTGATCTTAATCAGAGACATAGCGGCGCTGAACCCCTGTCAAAACACAAGTTGTTCATGACTGGTCATGTAATGCACAAAACATGCGGCGGAGGCAGCGAACCTTCACAAAGTGGAATGTTCATGCGCAAAAACCAGCAAGAAACACGCAAAAAAAACTTGTCGGTCTAGCGCTCCTGCCTATAGCTGCCACAAGTAGATTTTGCGAGGCGCCTGTCAAGGTTGGTTCCTTTAGTGATTCTTTTTTTGCTTGGTCGCACCGGCTTCGTGACTTGAAGTTAACAGAACATTAACTGACTCCAACAAAAAGCCGAAGCCCAATCTTCACCAAACCTGCTCAAGCAACAAACAACGCAAAAAATGTATGTTTTCAACGCCCCTGGCTAGGTGCTGGGTTTTGTGCTTGTTGATTTTGTTGGTGCTTGCTAGGGCTTGCTGATTATTTCTCCTTGATGCACAATTTTCCGAAGGAGTTTGAACAGCAAGGTGATGCCTTGGATCTTCCCAAAGGTAGGCATGCTGACCTACATTGTTGTGGCCAGTGATATACTGAAGCAGAGTCAGCTCCCGTTCATGCTTCAAAGTTGTGCCTAAAACAGAAAAAAATGATAGGACCCACGAACCCGAATGCATTTGCCACATGGATGCAGGAATAGGTAGACGCAAAAAAATACTCAAGATATGCTGAATGCCATCCTTACTTTGCGCTCCTCCCTCTACTCTGCAGTCTACTCTCCACGCGTTACACTGGACAATCCCGAATCAAACGCACGCTGTAGCAGGAAGACTCTCACACTCTACGCTGCACACTTCATACGCAGCATGACACGCTCTACACTCTAGAATCCACATTCTACACTTCACATTCCGCACTCCACACTACACACTCTTCACACTACACACTCCACACTATCCATTCCACACTCCACACTCTCCACTTTCCACGCCACACTCCACACTCCACGCTCTCCACTTTGTACTACAGAGCTTGCACAAGGTACTTCCCAGTATTACTTTGTACTGCAAAGTCTGCACACAGCACTTCCCAGGCCGAAATGAGTCGACATGACTTTGAAAGCTACTTCGTACTACACAGTTTGCACAAATTACTTCCCAGCACTACTTCGTACTACAAGCATTGCACACAGTACTTCCCAGTATTACTTCGTCCTACTAGCTTTGCACAAAGCACTTCCCAGTAATACGTTGCACTACAAACGCTTTTACAAAGCTTGCACAAAGTACTTCCCAGTACTACTTTGCACTACAAGCCTTGCACAAAGAACTTCCCAGTACTAAATTGTATCACAGAGCTTGCACAAAGCACTTCCCAATACTATGTACTACATGTACTACAAAGTCTGCACAAAATACCTCCCTGTCTGAAATGGATTTGAAATGATTCTGAAATTATTCTGACACGAGTCTGAAGCAGGCTTGAAGCTAGTTCGTACTACAAGATTGCACAAAGCACTTCCCAGTACTACTTCGTAATACAAGCACAAGCATTGTGCAAAGTACTTCCCAGTACTACTTTGTATTACAAAGCTTGCACAAAGTACTTCCCACTACTACTTTGCACTACAAAACTTGCACACAGTACTTCCTAGTACTTCTCTGTACTACAAAAGCACCTCCCAATACTACTTTGTACTACAAGGCTTGCACAAAGTACCTCCCAGTATTACTTTGTACGACAAAGCTTGCACAAAGCACTTCCAATACTACTTTTTGTGCTACAAGTCTGCACAAAGTACTTCACAGTTTGAAATGGGTCTGAAATGGCTCTGACATGACTCTGAAACCCGTCTGAAGAAGGCTTGAAAGCTACTTCGTACTACACAAGCAGGCTTGAAACTAGTCACTCTCCACACTTCACACTTCACACTCTCCACTCTCCACTCCACACTTCACTCCACACTTCCCATTCCACACGCTCGTCACACTTCAGACTTCGCACCCGCACTCCACACTTTTCACGTCATACTCCACACTGCACACTTCACACTCCACAGGTGATCACGTCACACTTGATTAGAGAACCACTTCATAACGGAACGTTTTGCGGCAAATCTCAGAGACACGGTGAGTGTCGATTAGAGACCCGCCCCAGGACCGAGACCCCTACTGTACCAAGAAAACATGTTTTTTTGGTCATGGATCGGTTGATGGCAGTTGCTGGCATTTGTTTTCCAAAAGACTTGCAAGTTGTCTGCAGATGTCTACAGACAAGCACAGCCGAAATCGAAGTTTTCGCCAGGTCATCGATATGAAGCGTTGGACAGCTTTCTTGTCGTCGTTGGCATTGGACCGTCGCGTGGACTTTGAAGAAGGCGACATTGGCCTAGCAGGAGGCGACGGAGAGAAATAAGCACTGCTAGCACTTCTAGAGTGAGATTAGCGCAGGGAAACAAAAGAATTGGGCTGAGCGTTTGCAAAGCCTGAGCAAAGATATGATTCGAATAGATTTCTTTCATGCGTTGGCATTGTCATACATATTTCAACATGTTTTGTGGTTGAATATTTTCAATGTCGCGCGTTGTTTCATACATCTACGCCTTTTCATGACTTGACAGTTTGAGCATGGGCAGAGTACTGTAGGCATCAAAGCCTTCGAGCCAGCACTGGAACACCCAGTCTCCAAGGACAGTCTCTCAGAAATGAAATGCCCATCGAACATCAACGAACTGTGAAAATATTCAAGACATGTTTCATTGTGTTTCATGCTTGGAAGCTCTCGCAAGGACCAAATCGTGCGCTTTGTCGGTCAAACAAATCCTTCTCTCCCGTGGCCAGAGCACGGAAGTGGTCAAGACAGCAGCATGGAATCGCTTCTTGATGGCAGTGTTAGTGACGTCGCCGCATAAGATAAGCCCTGCAAAAAAAATACCCTTTTCTGTGAGATATGGGCATTATACAATATGTTTTTAGATGTTTTTAGCGTATTCACATCCCAGATCCATTGACAGCATAGAAAGCGGCACATGCTGTAATCAGTAAGACGGAGTGTCCCAACCTGTGAAGATCTTTTTGGCATACACTTTATGGCATGAACTACGAACCAAGGATGATCCAGAAAACGCGACCTGGCCAGCAACAGGAGACCGCTGACTTATTCCCATAAATTCTTGGTTTACACAGTTTACATATGTTTACATAATATGTTTACACATGTTTCGCAGAGATCCATGTTTTCAAGATCCACGATCTGCCAGGATGCACCATCCATGCCAGTTGCTGAAGCCTAAGGATTCAAAGGTCCATACAGAAAATGCTGGGAAAATGCAAGATCGGTGGCATCGATGATTCGATCCTTGGCGCAACTTCTGCGCAACGCAAACAAAAGGCATCAAAAGGCTACACTGGGAACCCCAAGTCCAGAACTTGTTCCAACATGTCATAACAGTCATACCGGGTAGAGAAGGAGATGAAAACAGGAGATCACAGGAGATGATGGGATACGAAAGGCGATGAAAAGGAAGTAACATAGAGGAACGGCTAGGTGTCAGGATGAACCAGACTGGGACCAAACAAAATCAAGGTCAAGATCTGAGTTCTTGGTTGCTTCGTAGTAGCCATCGGATAGCAGTGGTTCGTTTGATTTGGTTTTGCTATGCTTCTCTGCGGCATTGAAGTGAAAAAGCTTGGGGATGCCTGGAGTGACAAGATGCTGCACATATCCTGCTTCTTGCGCATTTTGTTTGCTTCTTCCACAAGACAATCACAGTCTGAAGTTGTTATGGCATCTTTGCTGATTGCAAATGCCCTGACCAATCAAGCCAAAATCATGTCCTGAACATTTTGCATTTTCAGCCTTCAGGGTTTCTTCTCAGGAGCAGCAGCCATCCTAGCAGCAGCAGCAAAAGCCATCGCAGTGAATCGCAGTGAGATTTGTGAAGACACGCTGTGCCATGACACATTTTGAATTGAACACCGATGTCATCCGGAGGTAAACTGCAAGGCTTAAGTCATTTTAAGTCCCTGACAATTCGTTTTTAGGCCATTTTATTGTTGTCTTGTAGCAACGCCGAATGACATGGTGGACATCGCGGCATGACGCACCGTGGAGCATTTTTATCTTTACTGCTAAGCAGTGAGGACGCTCCGACAAGTGGCGGAGCATGCCCAAAAGCATGTACAACAGCCCTTGCAGTAAGAGCTCGGCCATTATATAATTAATCAAGGTTTTCACAGGTTCCCCACACTATTTAAGAACGTCAATTTTTAGTTTTTGTAATGCGCATGCTGAGTGGCTAACTAGGTTGGGGCGAACTTGAGAGGCAACAAAGTATGATCACGCGCCGCTCGTCGCGGATTCTATTTTGTTTGGTGCTGGTGACATTGCGCTGACACCTGATCACCGCGGTATTCTTTACAGGCACTGGCACAATTTTGGGAGGGATTCTGAGCAATGCATCACTTGCCCTGGCTCTGACAACGCGCGACGAATGGCTTTATATACAGTAACCACATGAGACAGAGTTTCCTGCACTAACCAGCCATGTGGCTGCAACGCATTGCCAAACCTAAGCTTCCACCACAAGCAACAGCCCAAAGGCTGATGCGGCATGACACAAATATGGAGACGTCCAAAGGATGTGATCCGGAGATGTGCTGAGCATGTGGAGCAAGGGAAGGCTGTCAAGGCACAGCTTTCTTCGCTTTTTTGCATATGCTTTGCATGGGGCTCCCAAAGATGTTGGAGCTGTGAATTTTGCCCGGCAACTTTTGCATTTAGGGTGAAAGTGCAAGGCGGGCTGCAGGCAGCCTCCACCCACTAGGTTCCATCTCCAGAACTTGTGGAGTGCTCATGTCAGCACTCGCAAGCTGACAAGATGGGTAGCAGGTTGTCATTCTACAGTGCTACACCATGCTATATGAAATATACACCACTGTTCGAATTGTTGTTTGTTTCCATCACGTGCGAGTGCGAAACTGTTTTAATCCGCGTTGACCTCGATGAGGGTTCATCGAAGGTCTTCCAGGCCAGACCAAAAAGGCCAAACCCAAAAGAAACATGGAGCAGAGAGCAGAAAAGGCTCGCATGGAGCAGAGACCTTTGGACCGTTGGAGCACATGCACTTGCAGTGTCACAGGTGCTTTGTGGCTGCAACCTTTTCCTTGCTTTAGGCACAGAAGCCACAACTGACATAGATGCCACATGTTGCCACCAGGATTAAATCCAAAATTATTCCGAAATGTAGCGCGGTGCGGAGCCATCGTGCCTTTTCAGGTACCCTTGCAAGTCACAGGCCATGAAGAGGCAATGGTCTACGCCTACAGGCTAGTAGCCGCTAGAGAACGCAAGGATATGGCACCCATTGTGGTATGGAGAAAGTTTGATTAAGTTTATAAGATTGAAATATGATGAAATATGTTGTCATGAATTTTGAAATATCGCCTTTTGTATCCTGTTGTAGCTGTTTGGGTCAGAACGCGTCAACTTTCTTCATGGAAATGCGTTTAGTGAGGCTCATAACCCAAGCCGACCAGAAGCCGATGTGATTTCCCAGGCTGCACACTGACACAGGACTCTGCAACACCATGTGAACGCAGTCTAGCTGCAACCCGTGAAAGTATAGCGATGCCTCTATGCGTCTCTTAGCAAGGCTCTTAGCAAGGCCTAGGAGGTCAAGATTGCAACGTGAAAAGAATAACTTACAGCATCCATACGTTCAATATTTTTCAATGTATCTTCCACGTAAACGAAGCTCACATTGCCACATTCGCAATGTACGAAAGTGAAGAGACCCGCTTGCGACTCGACCAAGAAGCAAGAGATCGCTGCTTGGAGGCAACGAAAAACAGAAAGCCCACTGAAGTCAACTTGAAACATCTTGAAACACAATCCGGTGACATCCTGTGCTCAGCCTGCTGCTTCAGCATGCTGCTTCACCATGCCATCATTTTTGTTCGTCAAGCGTGTGCAATGAGCGGTGTTCTTTCCATTCAAACAGATCTTGTTCCAAGACTCGGGTCCTGATGGCGGTGCGGTTCGAAAGTATTATTCGCCAAATATGCGTACCTATTTGTATCTTACTTGTGGGGGCATCAAGATTCACAATACTAATCACAATACTAACAGGGAAGACAGCTACAAGGTGCGTCCCCGGGAAACGGACTTCAGCTTTGCATAGCTTTGATTAGCTTTGCCTACTTCTCTCATTTTGTCTCTGGGTTATCAGGTTATCTGGGTTTGGGGCGCTGTGTTGGCAGCCTGGGACAGCTAAATTCTGGCCACTTGCTTGCTAGCCTCACTCATTTTGTGTCATAGCTCTGTGGTTGGGCTTGGGAAACTTATGGAAACTTATGGTAGCTTGTGGTAGCTTGCGGTTTAGGCCTTACAGTTTCGAACATGTGTAGTTGAGCCATGAGACCAGGTATGGCGGCTCACATGCAGGCTGTGGAAGAGGCAGAAGCATCTGGCAGTACTGGTGACAGAGGCGCCTGGAAATGGAAGATTCGTCAAAGGCTCGGCCCTCAGAGAAGCCAAGTCATGACAAGCCGATGCCAGTCCGGCAAGTTGCATGCCATGCCATGTCACACGAGGATTTGGGATTACATGGAGGAGAACGATATCGCAGCAAATCCGCGGCCAGTGCATCACCGCATCCCCAACTTTGTCCAATCAGAGCTCACAGCGAAGCAAGTCTGTGAGCCAAAGGGCGTGGGCGATAAGCTTTGGGTTTGGGATGGTTTGGAGTCTGTTCCTCACATTTTCTTTCTTCGAGCTTCAAGTGAATTGTCACTACTTTCATTCAAGCAGCATAAAACTAGATGCCTGAAGGCTTCTGTAGTGTTACAAGGCCTTTGGTGATATTGGGTGGCCTATTGGATCCCGTTTAGCTGCCACCGCAAAGCGCTTGTATGTTGCAGGCAGGACTGAAGTTTGCCTCGAACGAAATGCATTTCAAATCGGATTCCGTTCCCAGAATTAGGAGTTGTTTTTCATAATATTTAGTTCATGTAAACCCTACTGGCAGTATCGTCTTGTTCCATGAGGGTCGGAGATTTTTTCCCTAACGTAAACGCTCCCGCTCAAAATAGACAGGTAAAACACCCCTCTATTGGGAGATCATGATGACAAAGAAATCCTGACAGGAATCAGAAATGCGAATTTTGCCTCTGCCTGTGATATCCAGTGATGCCAGTGTCTCACCGAACGTCCGCTCAACTTCTTTTTAAACCAGCAAAATTCCTCTGGACTTCGCTGAGTAAATCTGAGCGCTCTATGCTTGACTGCGTCATTCTTGTTTCTTGCTGTATCAGTTTGTTGATATGTTCTACTTTGTCGCAATGTATCCTGGAGTACCAGGTAAAATGATGTAAAATGGTCAAAATTTGGTAAAACGGACAAAAGTTATCAAAAGGTCAGTCATAAATTAGAAAAGATGATTCCAAGATGATCAAGTCTAGAGTGTCTAGAGATGCAGATGTTCAAGTCTTCATCTCTTGATTGACTGAGGTGGCAGCCCTCCCTGAGTTTCAGAGCGCCAAGTGGGTGAAAGTCAACCCGGACTCGCCACAGGCTGAGGCGAGCAATGGCCATTGATTCCATTTTTTGGCAAACCGGATTGGTGTCGTCTCAAAGAGTGTTTTCTATTTGCTGTCGTCTCTTTGCCTTCATGAGTTTTGATGAGTTCAGATTTTGAGGTCCGCGCGACGGTGCTTCGATCTGGGAAGATGTTGCTGGTACCGCAGCCAAGGCAACTGCCCAACAGAAACACGGAGGTCTGTGGTCTGCAACACCATATGTTACCGTACTGTGTTACTTTGTAGTTCCCAGGTGTTTGGCCAAAACAGTAGCAACAAGGGACTTGCAAAGGCCAACAGCGATGCTCATGTCCACGACCCTTGGAAGGCTCCGGACAGGTTTTTTCAGCCTTTTGGATCCGCAAAAGATCCCTCCGGAGAAATATCGTTTCTTGGTCCTTGGTTGTCAATTTTTTTTTCGGCAGTGAGAAACAATTGATGCTGCTATGTTTCACAGTGTTTCGATAAGTGTTTCATTGGAAATTGCTGTAAATTTCAAGCAACAAAAATGTAGGGCTGGGAATGGCTTGCAATGATTGTTTCATATTGTTTCCTTTATTTTCAGAGCTGAAGGCTACGCATGCACACAAGCCAGCGTCTCAGAGATTCTCTGAATCGATGTTGGGGGCATCATACGATTTTAGAAAGTGGTGTCAAGTTAGTATTGATACTGAATCTTCACCGTCTACACCATTTGACTTTAGCCAAAGAAGCTGCCTTGGGCACAAGCTGCCTTGCGAGAAGTACCGAAAGAGAGCTGTGCTGATAATGAAGTTCGGATGTATTTGGATAGACCTGTTGCTTCTTGGTACTGGAAGTCTATGAAAAGATATGAAAAGCCAGCACGTAAAGTGCTTCCCTTCTTACAGGCCGGCGTTGTGGAGTATGGTCAACCCATCGATTTAGATGCAGACATCAAGGCCAGTTGTGCATTTGAGCTGGCTATTTTTTTGGTTTGAGGAGCTGCTGAGACTGGAAAGACGTTTCAGAAGTTTCAAGCGGGTATTTTGTGTGATTCTAGGTTGGGGGAGGCTACAGCAGGATGGGACTGAGCTGATAGGTTGATATGGTCATCATCGGCTCTGTAGCAGTCAATCCTGCAAATGGTGCTAGACTGGGAAAAGGAGAAGGTCTCTCGGATGATTTTTGTGCAGAAGAAAGTTAAGGCGCTGAAGAAATAGGATTTACTTTCCAGATGAGTCATGTCCATGAGAGAAACTTTAGTCCAGCATTCTTACTACAGATGTTTTGGTCCCAGATGGGTCCCAGCTTCTCAGCTGTAGGTTTTGCTGAGTTGGAATACGGCATGCTGCGGCTGATGGGCGCCATTGATGATGATACCCCAGCTGCTGGATCGATCAGAGAGTGCTGTGGGGGAATATCTAGTGATATTGATGAAGAGCGTGTGAAGAATGTGACAACATGTGACAACATGTGACAACACGTGACAAAATGTGACAAAGATATACAAAGATGACTAAGATGACGATATCAAAGGCGCGCGACGCTCTCACGGAGCTGTCACTGATGGCTGAGGTTTTGAGTTGTATTCATGATTGCCAGCTGGTGGATGATATTCCCGCTGAGCCTTGGCAAGCTAGTGCAAAATAAAAGCAACTTGGCTTCTGAACAGGCGCAATGCGAACTAATGCAAATAGGTGCAAACAAATGCAACCGTCGTGGAATCAGAATCTTCCTACGAATCAATGATAGTCAGACATTGCAGTTGCTTCACATTGCGTCACCATGTCCATTCAAAGAGAGAAAGCGTTGGATTGATGTTTTCCGAATCCCAGCTTTGGAAAGTCTGGAATTCTTTCTATTACAACGGTTTCTTGTCTCGAGCATGATTTCTTGGAAGGAGTGGCAATTTTAGCTGTACCTGGCTACGTTAGATTTGGCAGTACGTGGGTCTGAGGAAAAGCTTCTTTGTCACGATGTTCCTGTTGACATCATTTGCACTCCAAGTCAGTACCCTTGGCGCCAAAAAATGGGTTGACATGTCATGACATGGTGAGCACATTCATTTGGTTTTTCACGTCCAAACTTCAATACATTTAGGTGAGCTAAAGTTTTTCATTTAATTTGAACAACTTGTTTTCTTCAATTCGTTTGCTTTCAAGACACTCCAAGACTCGAATTTTCTGTTCTCATGGCATATCCAATTTCAGCTCTTTACAGTAGCTGCACCTTGTGTTGCCTCAAAAAAACGTGCTATACTATACCATGTTTTTTTCAGTTTGGTAGCGGAGCCCCACGTTGGTTCCACCCCGCAATTCGCCCCCGCTGAGCAATAGAGCATCCGCCTTTGCTTGCTCCTTGCGATGGCACTGCACTACGAACGAGCTGCTACTGGTCTGACCTCTTGGCACTGCTGGGTGCCCACACAGACTCGGGCTCTGGCAACCTGGACCTTGTCAACGGCCTCGGGCTTGCGCTTCCAGGGCAGCTTCACCAAGTTCGGGCCTGCCTTGCAGGGTGAACTACCTGGACAAGTTTGGGCTCTAGTTGGGCTTGCGCTGCTTCGCCTTCGTCAAGGGCTTTCGCCTTGCTCTTTGACCAGGCCAGTGACTTCGTCTTCTGGCAGCCCTGGATCTCCCTTGGATGAGTACCAAAAAAGTGTGGGCTCACGGTGGCTCGAACTACACCTGAAGCAGTACCTTGACACAGGTTGTATCATAGACCTGGTGAAGCGACCCCCATGGCCACAGGGATGTTGGAGACGCTGCTGTGGTGAGACTGAGTGTGGACCAGGTGGCGGACCCTGCAAGTGGCCAGGTCCAAAAAGCAAGTTCTGGTAGAGTTCAAGCTTTGTTGCAGGCACTTCGAGCTGCTTTCGGAGAAGCTGGGCATTTGCAGGCCACAAAAGCTTCTGAGACGTTCTTTGAGTTTCGCAGGAGCCGCTTGGCCATTCCTGACTGGTCAGTTCAATGGGAGCTGAATCTGGAAGAAGCCGTTGGCCGCTCAGGCCTCGAGATCAACCAATCAGCCCTGTCGCCAAGAACTACTTGTACTTCAAAACTTCTGGCCTTCCTCAAAAGATGGCGGGTGACCTGATGTTGCAGGTTTGTGTGAAGATTCGAGGGGGTCAGAACGCTCTTGCTCCACATGGCTCATCGGTCTGATGGCTTTTGAGCTACTTTTCCAACCTCTATGAGGACGTCCAGGCCTACCACATGGATGACTACGATGAAAGCAGCTGACGGTGACTGACATGCATGGGGGAGCGATTGGAACAGCAACTACGAGACTGACCAAGCTTGGTATGAAGACCCATGGAATGAGGAGAAATATGATTGTCCCTACGACTACGGCGGTCCTGGCGGATGGCAAGAAACTTGGTATGAAGCTGGCTATGATGAAGAACATGGAAGAACCTTCAGAACAAGCTGAAGAGAATTGCTGCTGAGGAGAACAACCAAGATGAAGCCTACTACAAGGGCAAAGGAAAGAGCAGACTATGGGTCTTGGATGCTCCAAGTGGCACAACACGCGCGGCTGGCGGCTGCCCTTTGAGTGACCACAAAGGCAAACGCCAAAGGATCTTCAAAAGGCAAAGCGAAGAGCTATGGCAAGAAAGGCAAACCCTTCCAGCGAAAAGTCGTTGGCAAGCGTGGCGTATGGACTCATGAGATGCCCTGCAGTTTCAGCGGCTACTATCTCATGAACCTCAACGAGGACGTCCCTACTTCGACTCCCTCCTAAAAGAAAAGCTGGGCTTGACTCCTGAGTTCATCCAGACCCTCAACAAGAGCACCAAGGACACGCTGGCTACTGTAACAGCAAATCCAAAAAACAAGACGCTCAGCACAACGCTTACGATGAGCGCTGCAACATGCTTTGAAACAACAGCGAGAAGCCTGGAGAGAAGCAAAGGCTAGAAACAACGACGCCCGACGCCTTGGAGGAGCTAGCATCAGCAACACTACATTCATCCCCACGCCTGCCAGGAACCTCAATCGTAAAAGGGCGCCGGGAGCGAAGCAACCCCACCACAAAGCTAGGAGCTCCTGCAAGACCGCCCGCACCAAAGGTGTGGCAGCGGCTCTAAGAAGACCAACAATGCTGGTGACCAAAATCAAGGCGTGAAACGACACCGGCAAGACTTGACTGAACAAGGCATCGAACCAAATCCAGGACCTAGGGGAATTACCAATGCCAATCTTAATATCTGGCAAGCCAATCTCGGATCGCCCAACCAGAGGGGATGGGATGTCCTCAACGTGGCAACAAGCAAGCACATCCGAATCGTCTTCCTCCAAGAAACCTTCTTGACCGCCGACCAGCCCAGGGACATGGAATTGCGACCAATTGCCAGGGTTTGCATTTACTTTATTTCCATTAGCCATCTCTCGCTGTCCAAAACCGACCCGATGGTCAACGGCCTTCGGGGGGGGTAGCAGTGGCAATCCACAAAAGTTTCAACTGTGCACAGGCCAAGGCTTGCTGCAATGCAGCAGGCGAATGGCTCCGCATTCGGGTTGGGCCCATACAGGTCATTTCTGCATACAGGCAACCAAACGCCATTGCCGACACAAAGAAAGCATGGAACGAGCCGCTAGCTGAAGACCTGGCCATTCTCGGGGCTGCAGCCACCTGGCTTTGTGCAGCGCTGACATCATTTACCCAATCTCCCTCCTGACCCAAACCTCTGGAGGTGGAAATCATTCACGGTGACCCCAACCCTGCTGCAACTCGATGAGAATCCAACAACTGCCTCGACTGGTCCATCCAAAAAGACATCTATTGTTTATTGCACTTGCAAAACCATATTCGAAAATTTTGCTGACCACGAAGTGATTCCGTATGAGGGGCCCCCAGTCTTCTCTCCTATTGGCCCAACCCAAACCGGCGCCCAACTACGAAAAACTTGCACAAATCCCCTGAGGTTTTCAGCGCAGGATGGGCTAATTACTGCCACGCAAGCTGAATCCATCACTACGTGCGAAGCATGGATACAACCATACGTCAAACTCTACAAAATTTCTGGCATGATCTCATTCAACAAGAGCGCCAAAACCTTCGGAACAACATCGACAAGCCACGGCAACCAAAGACCGAGATCATCTACAGGCACCCCCACAGCAGACTTCAAGACTCTACATCCATCAGGTGCGCTCGCTTGCGAAGGCATGAGATCTGGAATTACAGGCATTCCAACAACCACCAACAGCGACAACATCCTCTTGACAACTTCCACCAACAGCGACAACATCCTCTTGGCAACTTCAGAAGAGATGCCAGAGAGCTTCTATGCCCACTTGACCCGGGATCTGACTCCCAAACCCAAGCTTGTCGCCTTTGGATTGAACAACAAATCTTGCAGAAAGAAACAAACCAACAACAAGCCCAACTACAAGCTTGGAAACAACGGCTTCGCGGCAAGCCGCGGGCGATCTGGCAATAGAGTCCACGAGACAAGAGAGTCCACGCCAACTACTTTCGTTCAGCAGCAAGATCTTGCAGATCTCAGACAATTCTGGCGAAATATCTGGCCCACTGAGCTTACTCCACAGCAACAGCATGAAGCGGAAGCAAGTCACATACGGTGGCAACATCAACAAGAACCAGCACTGCAGCCCAGCAAGGCATCGACTCTTGGGAGGGCGCAGAAATCCAACACCTTCCGGACTAAGCGTTCCATACCTTGGCATCGCTCTTCCAAAACATTGAGACCACCCAAAGCTGGCCGACAATGCTGCGCCATTGGCGAACTATACACCACAACAGACCAGGCAAGCCACCTGCAGCCAAAAACCTTCGGCCAATCAGTATAGCCAGCATTTTCTACAGAATGTGGGCGGTTGCTCACAACAAAGAAATGGCAGATTGGCTCCAAGCACATTTACCGCAGGAACAACATGGCTGAATCAAACAACACCACACCCTCACGCCTATCCTCCAAAAGCTCGGGGAAAGCATTGGCCCTGACAACCGGGGCATCCAACTACACAGATTCATTGGATGCGCTGATTTCTCAAAAGCTTTTGGCCGCACACACGGAGCCACAGCAGCAGCAGCAGCAGCAGCTTTTACCAAATTCCATATACCACAACGAATCTGGGGCACGCTGCAAGCAGCTTGAAGCAACCAGAAACGGTGTCTTTGCACACCACAGCATTCACCGGGATCTCCTGATCCTTGCCAAGTTCAGCCACAAGTTGACCCAACGTCACCCCTCGGCCTGATCCTCCCGCTGCCCGAAGCCACAGCACGTATCCAACAAGCATTTCCCCAAGCCCTACTCCCCGTCTATATGGATGACAGATCCCGCCTCACACAAAGCCCCATTGGTCGCACCTGCGTTGCGACGCCTGGGAACAAGAAGCCAGGTGTCCCTGCAGTCCAACAGGGCGGAATCCGTGGCCGGGGGGTGCACTGCTTTATCTCTACCCTTGAGCCTTTTAGAACAAGGAAAAGCTGACCCTCGAAACCACTGCAATTTTTTGGGTCGGCTGACCTCAACAAAGCCTGTGACAGACTTCACCCACGATTCGCTTTGCAGCGAATGCAGATCCCAGAGCCTCTTTGCGACTTGAAGCTGCCCGGACCAGGACCAACCAGGCAAGATGAATCCAAGCCTGCGGCCACTGCCAAGCCGAGCCAATTCAGCGCCAGGCACTTCCACAAGGAGATGCGGCCAAGTGTGGTCAGCCTGGTTGGCCAATTGTCCGAAGCACTGCTGCGTATGCAGTCTCAACATCCGACTGGTCACGCAGTGTTCTTGGATGATCGCACATGGGTCACCAAACGACCTGTTGAGACATCTCAAATTGGCCAGGCTTGGAATCAAGAAAATTCACACCTTCGTCTCCTGAACCTGGCTATGGCAAGCAGCTCCATCCCGTACACTTAGCCAGAGGCAAAGCTGTGGACTTGATGCGGGCTTGATGTAGAAAAGCTTCTCCGCACCTTTAACCACAATATGCGAAATCTTGTGGAGCAGATTGAGCGCCTTCTGCTCTCGGTTTGTCTCATCAGCTGATTTTGTAGCATTTGCACGTCTGATGTTGATAGTTGTGCCGAGACAGCGAGGTTGTTGAAATATGGTGCCAGACAAGTTGGCATTGTCCATTGCTCACTGAAGTTCTCGTTCACATCTTGCACTCCTTCAACGGCGAATTTGAAGCTTGCTTGTATGAGAAACAGAACATCGGACGTATCACTTAGAGGGTGGCTACAGCAGAATGGCTGGATTGAAGATCCAGACATTCCACGGAAATCGTCACACGAATGACACTTTGTCCCCTGTGCAATATCAGAAAGATGAACTTATTCATGTCCTGTGTCGAGGCTGGCGCGCACAGCAATGGCAAGAATTTCTGGGCGGCAGTTCGCGAGCTGCGGCGGCCTTGGGATGCTTCAAATTGAGCGGACCAAGGCAGTGGGCCCGAGTGGCCATGCAGGAAAGCATTGCCCACACACGTAATCACCTTCAAGCTGTCTACTGCAATCGATGGGTGAGTGACGCCCGGGCGCCCGGATTCGAGCGAATAAACAAGAGAAGACCGTATTTGCTCTTTCTGCGGAACCAATTTTGTCATTGCGCCACCCTTGCCGCTGAGGGGCAAAACCAATGTTCAGACAGTCTTCTTTTTCAATGGCTGGGCTGGCCTTCCACCCTGCGCAGATCGAACTGAACCATTCTTTGGCTGTGACTCACAAGCGGGTGCTCAATGCTCGCCGGCTGTAAGGCAGCAACTGCAACTGCCAGGCTGTGCTTCGCGCTCGGGTGCAGTCCGCTACAACGAGCCTTTTTCTTCTTCATAGCAGTTTGGCAGCAAGCAGATCTCGACCTCCCCAATGGTGCTTGCGGGCCTTGGCAAAAATCATGCTCACAGAAAAAAACTCAAACTTCCGAATTGCACCAAGACCTACAGATGGCCTAGCACTTGGCTGATTTTCTTGCGCACATTCCTCACAGGAGTGTCAATTGCTGTTGGCCAATCAAGTCAGAATGATTTTGCAGTTCAATTAGATATTTGGAAATTCAATACCACAGCGAAGGACCTGTGGGGAAATAACGTTGGGATTGCCGACAATATGCCATTTGAAAACGGAAGCCAGATTCAAGTTTTGCCTGCACCAGAGACATTTCTTGAAGCGACGACAGACCCAACCGACACAGACCACCCATCTGTATCAAATTGTGTTTTTTATGTTTTTGGGCAATGCTTTGCTGCAGCGTTTGTTCATGTGAGTTTGGGCTGCGGATGACCCAAAAACGAAAAGTGTACAAACGCAAAAGAAAGCACAAAAGGAAGAAGTTCCGGAATCACCAGCAGCGACGCGTCTTTGTCATGACTGCTGCAAGAAAGTGTCAAAAGCAAAGGCTCAAGAAAGCCAGGGTTCGAATGAGACCGTTCTCCAAAAAGTGCCATGTGGCAAGATTAAGACCAAGGTATGGAAGGTTCATGTCCAAGAAGCGTCAGCCTGTCAACGATGTCCCATGTCAGTTTTTCCCACACTGGACCAAGTTGCAAGGAGGATACGGAGGAGGATCCCATACCACCAAAAAACGCAGACAAGAACGTCAGCGACAACAAGGACTTGCTGACATTCTCCAAAACGCCATCCAACAATGGCAGCGAACACAATCACAGAGAAAACTGAGGGCAGCCAGCCCCCAGGAACAGAATGACTCTTCACTCCTGGATATGGTGGAACGAATGCTCAAGACATGTCGACAGCAGCAGCAGGATGATTTATGGAGAATCAACCTCAACGAAGATAAAGGGCCCTGACAGGCGCTGATGTGGCGGAAAGAAGAAGCAGAGGACTGAACTTCATGCACTACATCTCCAATCAATCTGGTGGAGCACGCAGAGGCCAAGAAAGACCCGACTTCCACAACACGACATCCGGTTTGAAGATAATCGACGATAAATGAGTAGAACGATGGTGGTGGACCTGCTTCATGAAGAATCTCAACGTTATCTTCATCACCTTCTGCCCAACTGAATGCGACTTCCTGATCTACCTGCAGACTGGTGAGATATCTACCGTGTCGACGAGCAGACCGACACGCTGACTGAGGATCAAGTTTTGAATGGCCGGCCTTCCTTTGAGCAGCCCGACCGAGCTGAGCTGAAGCAGTTTGCGGATGAGAGGGTTTTTCGCCGGGTCCACTTAACGTTGCCATTGTCGGTGGCACTTGGGTCGGGAAGCACAAGAGAATGCTCACAGATTTCAGGAGCTGCCCACAAGAAGCACAACGGCTACACGCCTCTCTCACCGACTTGTCCTGAGCATGGCAGCGACACGCAGGTTCAAGCTGCGCTCATCGGAGGTTTCTCGGGTATTCCTCGAAGGTTTTTTTAGTTTCAAAAGGATCAAAGAGATCTTGGGTCGAAAAGGCATTTACTCACAGGAGGGTTGTTTTGGTGCCTCCTGCACCTGGGCGATCCCCGATGAGAACAAGGTCTATGGGGCCTTGAGTGCCTGAAACCTGCATGTGATTTGGTGGATGCGCTACGCCATTGGCATGGCAGTTGTACACTTTGGAAGAATCTCAATGAAACAAATTCTTGCTGGGCGAGAACCTCTGGGCCTGGCACTGGCGCTATCCTTCTGGACAGCTGAAAGCCCTGATGACCATTCACGTGGACGACCTTGCTGTCTACGGTGGAGAAGCTTGTCTTCAAGGGTCAAAGAGGAGTTCAACCACTTGCGCAGCGGATTTGGACAGATCAGCATTCCGTCACTTCCTGTCAATCACTGTGGCAGCCGCTACAACCACATGGGCGACCACTACAAGATCGACCAGCGGCAGTTCATTGGCAGCATGAAAGTTTTGGTTTTGAGTTACCTTGGGGAAGGTCAACAACGATTTCTCCAGCCCTCCGACTTTGAGGAGCATTGGTTTGCTGTGGATGACAGCAGCAAAACGTTTGGATTTGGTGGCCGACGTTGGAGCTTTGCAGTCTGAGAAAGGGGAAGATGGTCTAGCACCACCACGTTGGAATCACCTGCTGCCATTTTCCAACGACTATACCCTGGCGATGGGTGATGGTTCATACTTCATTATGCCTCTGCTGCCTGAAAGGCAAGGCATACTCCCAATAGGAGTTCATTGTGATGCTCATGCCCGACCTTATTCTGGACTTTGGCAAGAAGATCCACACGATCCACGGGCTGACGGTAGATGAAAGGCACATTCTCTTTGCCCATGGTGCTAAGGCCACGAGGATTTCACACAGCACTTCGCACAGCAAGACCATTGCAGCGATGTCTGGACTTGAGACTGCCCCTTGGCGGAGTTGCTGCGTAAAACCTTCAAGCCTACGCTGCAACAACTTGCTGCTTTCCAAGAACGTGGTGTTCCGTTTTTGCCAGTGGATGCGGTGACGGATTGCAAAGATTTCTCTGCTCTGTCTACTGGATCTACATCCTTGCCGCAGGAGAAGAGCCACCGCATCTACATCTTGGCAAACACGGCCAGGCTCTGTGGCCGACTTCGATGGATCATTTTGGTTCTTACACAATCAACGGTCGCTGACTGATGCTTTGGCCAAGGTGATGTTGAGCAAGCAGCTTCTACATGTGATGAGCACTGGCCAAGTGAACTTTTACAACGAGCCTGGGCATCCCATAGAAGCCCGCAAGCTTTTGCGAGGATGATCTACATGAAGGTCATGAGAACTGGATTTCTGGGCTCCTTACAAAAAGGGACTCACAACTTCACTACATCCTGGACGAGACCTACTGCGAGGCCGAGGCCTACATCATGGAGAACCAGTTCAAGCTTTTGACTCCTGGCTTCGCTCTGCGCTGCGAATTTTGGTGGCGGCAGATCCGAAAATGATGGTGTCTGCCCAACGACGCAGTTTGAATTCAACTGGTGGAGAATTGCAACCATTTTGGTCTCTGCCGCTTTTGCGATTTGCTATACTTGGAATGGTGATCTATATCAGCTGCGGCGAATGGTTCTACGTTTGGATGCTGCTCTTCATCGTCAAGGGGAGGCCGCTTTACAAGGACGACTTCAACCTCTCGAGCATGCCAATTTGGCGAGCACCATCCTCCAAACGGGGAGCAACGCGACGGAGATGCAAGTGCAGTTGGGCGAGAACACACGGATCATCAACACCCTGTATATACCGTGCTGTGAGGAGACATGCAAGTCCTCACCGTGAAGAACCTTCTGCTAGCAGACCTCGAGTCGTTGACCGACGTCCTGCGCAACCTGAACCTGAAGAAAAACGAGCATTCAATGATGCTGCTTCAAGATCGAGAGACGATGGACCTGGAGGAGAACCTGAAGCTGAGAATTTCGAAGAAGGAGAAGAAGAAGAAGAAGAAGGAGGTGGAGCGTCCAATTTTGACTTCTCTGATGACTCTGCCTTCCATGGTGGAGCGTCAAACTTTAACTTCTCTGATGAGTCTGCCTTAGATGACATCCACCGCAACTACATGCTGCGACGTGAGGAAGTTCCTTGAGGCCAGATCCACAACCTGATGGTGCAGTCCAGCAGCACCAACGTCTATACCTCCATGCTGAGCGACAGCAACGCGGCCATGCTTTGCGGCTCTGCGCCTCTACCAGCGCTTCTTTCTGACCGAGGCCTTCGACGATGGAGCTACGACTAGTCAGGATTTTGCAAGCCACATGGGCTTGATCCGTTTTAGGAATCATAGGTTGTTCGATCGGTTAGATGCGCGCCTTATAATATAATAGTGACTCCGAGAAGGAGACAAGGATCCAAAATCTGTACATGAATCTCCGCAATGTCACCAACGTAGAGCGCAAATAATTAGAGAAGGGTAACACGCTGAGCTTGACGGAGATCCCAAACCAGCAATGACCCTGGGAGCAGACTCGAAATTTTTGTTCTGATGGCATGTCCAATTTCACATTTTTACCGTAGGCTACGTATTTGCATCTTTTGCTGCCCAAAAAAGTGCTACCGCGTTTTCTTCAATAGGCTTTCGTGGAGACGAAGATGCCCGCCAAGGACCATCCGAGTACCACGTATTTTGCCCAAGCCCAAAGGAATTTATTGGGAAAAGCTTTCTCCGCAGAAACTGGCTACTCGGCAAGTGCAAGGTGACAAAATTGAGGACCTTGCAATCTTGTGGGATTTGCCGCCGCATGCCTTGGACATGTCCGGACCTGTTGAGGACTAAATATCGTCAAGTCTCGGTGGTTTGAACTCTTTTGAATTCAGGGCTCCATCTTAATCTTGCAAAAGCTCAAAGCGAAGTTGGAGAGAGAGGCTGAGCAGAAAGTTGGTGCACGGACAAGCTGAGGGCCAGCTGGCCATTTCAGCAAGCAGGGCAGCGTGTTGATTTTTGGTAAATTTGGAACATCGACATGAAGTTTCGGTGTCTCACTTGAGATGATCTGATACATGGGAACTCATAAAAAGGCGGCCAGCGCCCCAGCCCCACCGTATCTCATGCCAAGGAGGCTGGCCAACCTCTACCCTCAGGGCCTGACGAGATCTTGCCACCTACGGCCAAGAGAGACAAAGGGAAGGGCAAAGGCGGAAAGAGCGGAAAAGGGCCAAAAGGCACCGGAAAGACTGGCAACTCCCAGGACACGCAAGTGACTCTGCCAAGTGGCTCTGCAAGTGTTTTAGCGGCCCGCGCCATTCACAGCACCCCGTTTGCTTTCTTGACGGTTTGAATTCAAGGAGCGCAAAGGACAAGGAAAGGTCAAGGGAAAGGGCAGAGGTCAAGACCAGGGAGGCAAAGGCAGCAAAGGAGATTGTGTTGAAGGCGGGGTCCTATGAGATTTGGTTTGGTGATGTGCTGTTGGGCATGTCATACGACTCGGTGGCAGGTTCCAATTGTATCAGTATACCGCCCGCACCCATCTCAAGCACGCGCATTCCTTCGTCTATTTCATCTCCGTTTCAGATTCTTCTCACTTCTGTTCTCTATTTGTTCGACGCAGGCAAAAATTCCCAGACAGGTGGAGGGCTCAGCAAAGAGGAGATTCAAGCATCAAGTTGCCACGTGCACGTTCAAGGGTGTCAACCACGATGTTGACTCCATGAGGTCACCAGGGCATCGGCCAAGACAATGATTCAATGTTCAACACGACAAATCGTTTGGGTTTGAGGGTCCTGGTTCTCTTTCCGGCCATGTGTGCCAGGATGTGTAGATTTTTGTTTTCCGATTTCATTTGTGCCAATTTTCTGAGGACCCAGGGACCCTCCGAGGCGGCGATGGCAACCAAAGTCTTGAGAAAGATTTCTGCCCTAGTTTTGTTCTGTCCTGGAGCCTGTGTTTTTTAGGAGGTGAGCACAAGGAAAGTGTCCAGAGCCCGCATTAATTCGTCAAGCTGGACACGGATGAGACAATCAGCTGCCATGTTGCACACGGCTTTACCATGTCTCATGGCTCAAGACGATTCCATTATTTTACCCCTCAGGCGTCATGCGGTACGTGTATCTTATTATTCTATCGCTGAAGCCGTCAAGCCAGAGTGAATTGTGTTTGGCGCAAAATCGCTGTAAAAAGCATGTTTTCATATGTTTTCTACATGCAAGGCGTCTTGAGAGATTCCCGTCTTGGAGACCGAGGGAGATTCTTGCCACAAGTTTTCGGTTGCGATGTCCGAATTTGAAAGAATGTCCCGCCATGGAACAGCAGACATTGCACCCAGATGCGTTCAAAAATGAACATGCCCCCAGCGACAGAGGCCAGGACTATGGGACGTGTAGCTCATGTAACTTGTGCGCCTGCTTGGGTAAGAATAATCCTTTTGGGCCACAAGAAGCGGTGGTATGCAGCAGAGGGGTTGATCGTATCAGCAATCAAGCATGGTCGTTGCCGAAGGCTGTAGCCAGTGTTTGGCAGCGTTGCGGAGGCGTATTTGCTCAACTGGCAGATCCCAAGCGCTTGGCTTGGCACTTGCCCGTCTACCGCAAACTGCGCTGTAACTTGACTGCTATCACACGCTATAATAACCCCAATCAGCATTGTCTCACCGCGTTTTGCCACGCCTTTTTGAGGCCTTGGCCGAGGTGCTTTCGGCAAGGCGCAAAGTCCAACATAGTTCAACCAAGTTCAACCATCTTTTCAGAGTAGCAAAGATATCTTTTTTGTCAATTCCGTTCAGTAAATGCTCAATCCTTCTCTGTGGCTCTCCATAATTTTGTATCTCTTGCACTCCCCTTGTGCAAAGAGAAGACCTCCTGAGTAGCAACCAATTTTCCATCAGTTACCTGCCCGCCACCCTGCACGGCTTGTGTGACCATGCAAGGATATCCCACGCATTGCAAAGCACTGCAGCACAATGGGATGTTGTATGTTTATGATATATGATTTACGCTTTCAAAATTTTCCGCACACGCAAAATGCACTGTAACACATTGGAACCTCTAAAGCCAGCTTGCTAGCTGGAGTTGCCTTTGCTTTAGCGTTGTATTGGGAGCGGATTGGGCGCAGAAAGCTTGATCTATCAGGTCGGATTTGATTTGGGCCCCCGCCCCCGTTTTATCAGGTCGAACTTGGCCCCCCTCGCATCCACTCCCCGCGGATTGCCGCTACCAAGTCATAGAGGTTCGACTAGGTTGTCGCTTGCAATGGTCGTTCTTTTCTTTCCCCTGCATGTCTTCCGTATTAGGGCATTATTTTGCAAGAATCCCAGCAATGACGGTCACCATCATCACCTTCCTCATTTTCACTATTGTTCACCACACTGTCACCTTGATCGTCATCACTGAGTCTGTGCTTAACCCTAGTACCTTCCGCATCAACTACATGCCGCGACCGCTGTCAAGACAAATCTGGTCCTGACAGAAACCAACCAAGAATAAGCTGTCACCGGCCTTTTCTGCACCTATATGCCGCTCGTTCCCGTGCTCGAGCAAGGTACTGTACTGGGCCGTGGCCCTGTAATGGCATGTAAGGAACTTATGCATCTTGCGGCGTATGTAACGGGGACCGTGCCACACTCTTTGCAATGTATCTACGTGCCGGTGTGGAGCATCTCGGGTTTTCAGGGCCTGCAAGTTTTCTTGGTAAACATTTCAGGTGTGCAATGTATGCGTCCAATCCGGGGTCTGAAGTGTGTAATTTTGTGTCATGTATGTAACGTTAGCTGGAGAGAATGATGCTGATTGATTTTGTGGTGCTTCGTTTTGCCTTGCGCGTCGATCCCCTGACATTCGAGTATGTCAGTATGTGGACTTGTAAGTATGCAGGCGTGCGCATATGGAAGTACCTGGGTGTGTGGGTAGGCAAGCAAGCAAGAAAGCAAGTAAGAAAGTATGCAGGTAAGTGAGGAAGAAAGTATGGAAGCAAGGAAGCCATCAAGTCAGTAGGTCAGTACATCAGTTCGCCACCAAGTCAACAAATAAGCAAGTTAGTCAGCAGGTCAGTCACTCGGTAAGCAAGCCGTCAAGCAAGCAGGCAGGCAAGCAAGAAAGAAAGCAAGCAAGTAAGTGAGCAGGTAGGCAGGCCAGCAAGCAGGAAAGTAAATAGGCACGCAAGAATTCACGTAAGCGATTAAGAAAATAGGTAAACAATAAGGAGGTACGTAAGCCAGAGGGTAAGGAAGCAAGCAACTAAGGATGTAAATAAGGAACCACGTGCAACTCAGCAAGTAACTGAACTCAGCAACTATAGTTGCAATTTAGTAGCTCAAAAATTCAGAAGGGAAATCAGTCATTCACCCATGAAGTCAGCAGGGCGGTAGGTATGTAAATCAACAAGTGAGCGGGCAAGCAAGTAAGTAAGCAGTTAGGCAAGTAAAGTGAACGCGCAAGCAAGTGTACAACTTAGGAGAAGGTAGGGGTAGATAAGCTGTAGTTAGCAGTAGCTAGTTGTAGGTAAGTGCACGTAGTTGAAGGTAGGTGTAGGCAGCTTTAGGTAAGTGTGGGCGGTATATGTGCAGGGGGATTTTGGTATAGACGGTATAGGAGTATAGGACCTTCCGCGTATTTTGTTGGGCCGTGTCGACACCCCTTGACTGTCCGCACCGGTGGGCTTTTTCATTCATGCACCAGCAATTCCAACCGGGAATCCTTCCTTCAAATTTCGCGCGCGCTTCATGGCATTGAAGAAACACGCATGTTGGATTGGTGGTTAAAGAGAGAGAATTCGAAGGCGTATCTGGTGGAAGTGGTGAGGCCGGATTTTTGCATTGCGGTTTTTGAAAAGATTCGGAAGCTATTGGTGCTGTTTTTTGACCGCCCTTCTTCCAGGGGAAAGAGGGAGATTGTCCAGCGCGTCTTGAAAAAGCTTCCGCTTGCCGAGGTGAACGAGGCGCGGAAGTTCTGTGGAGAAAAGGACGGCCTTCAAATCCAATTCTGTTGAAGGACAGAAACAGCATCAGCCAAGGCATTCATGGCTAGGAAACGCAGCCTTGAAAAGAAGGCAAGTTACGCTGAGGCTCAGCGAGAAGCTGCCTTCCGAGAAGCGCAGCTGATGCGAAAGATCAGCCGAGACTGTAACGCGGCTGCAAGACAATGAGCGGTCCACAAGCTACTTGCCGTCTCACCTGAGGCCCTTGGATTACTCAGTTTCACGAGGCACTGCCCTCGATTTCAGGCTTCATGTTCAACTTTCAGATTTGCCCGATCTGCCGTATTTTTTCAAGTTGGGCCACGTTTCCGTGAGCTCCTGCGAGTAGGTCTTGACTTGCAAGAGCGGCGCAGTTCTTTGTCTCATCATGGAGCTCCTCGCCAGATTTTTGAGCCCGCTTCAACACCTGATGCTGTCACTTTCTGAAGCTTCGATCCATGAGGTATTGCTCTGGGGGCGACTTGCGCAGCATCATTCTCCATCAGCGGGAAAAGGACCTCAGAAACCCAGGGCTGGCCTTAGACTCTTTGATCATCTTGATGCCTACATGCAGGACGAAAGATTTCCAGAAGCGCAAGTAGTGAAGCAGCTCGGCAACATCTCTTTGATAGCAGATGCATGATGCTGAAATTTCAATCACAGGAAAAGCTTTTTCCTTTATGTCATTATTTGTGCCCAAACATTTGTGCCGCCCAAATCTGCTTACATTGAAACGCGACCTTAACGAAGTCTTTTCCTTGGCGCATGCGCCCAATGTGCCTCTTAGATCCAGTTTATGTGTTTGCGAAGCTCTTTTCAGACGTTGGTAGCACAGCCACGTAGATATTCCAGTAGTACCGCACAAGGCGGTGGCGGAAGTTTCAAAAATAGGAAACCTATAGGAAAGGTTGGTTGTTGTGAATCACAGATGGCAGAGCGAAGCCACTGATGGACTGAAAGCTGCATGAGGTCTCCTCTCTTTCTCTCTCTTTCTCTCTTTTTCTCTCTGTTTCTCTATATTTCTCGGATTATCTACCTACCTACTGTCTGCCCCGGTCTATCTATCTCCCTATCTATCTATCTATCTATCTATCTATCTACCTACCTATCTATCTAGCTGTCTAGTTTTCTAGCTATTTGTCTATCTATCTCCTTATCTATCTATCTATCTATCTATCTATCTATCTATCTATCTATCTATCTATCTATCTTTTTTTAGCTGTCTCTCTATCTATTTGTCTGTCTGTCTATCTTTCCATCTATCTATCTATCTATCTACCTATCTATCTATCTTTCTTTCCGGCGATCTATCTATCTATCTCTCTCGCTCGCTCTCTCTCTCTCTCTTTCACTTTTCTATCTCTCTAGCTGTCTACCTGTCGATCTTATCTATGTCATCTCTTTATCTAACTACGTATCTATCTATTTATCTATCTACCTGCCTATCGCTCTTTTTATCTACCTATTGCTCGATTTATCTTTCTCTCCACCCCATCATTCGACCACTTCCCGCCACCGTGTCTCGCCCATGGTCCCTGCGCAGCCCTTTTTTCCTTCCGATTCGGGGCAAAGTATTTCGAGGCGTTGCTGCCTAGAATGTGACATCGTGCCGTCAGAAAAAACACACACGAGCACAGGCGAACGCCCCTGCTGAGGCCCCATCGTGCCGTCAGGAAAGGCGAACACGATAGCTTTGCTTCACTGGGACGGCTCGTAGTAAATCTAGGCGATCGGAAACTGCACGGCCGCTGCCCGCTCCACTGCATGTGTCCCACGTTTCACTGCATGTGTCCCGGCCGATGCGGTCAGAAGCGATGCGTGCAGTCAGCACTCGCGCGGTGCGCATCACTGCATGTGTCCCGTTCTACCCGATGGCAGCGACGCGGGCAGAAAAGCCACACGCGAGGTCATTGCCATCTCTGCCACGCAGGCACATGCGGCATCTGCGAGGCATCAGCTGGGTCAGCGTGCCGCCGGGCAGCATCCGCCCGGGCAGCCTGCCGCTGTCGCATTTCAGTGTGAATCCAATCAGGCTGGAAATGGCAACGCTCATCAAAAAGCCTCAAGTACTCACGGCGCAGCAATTCATCTTCCGTCCGCTTCACCTGCGGCCACTCACTGTGGTCGTGCGAGATTTTCAAGATGGTAACGGCATCAGCAACGGCGAGATGCCTTCGAAGAGCGAGCCACTGGCAGGACTTTCTGCCAGGTCCTGCAGAAGCCTTCTCGCTTCCTCTGGCGGCCGACAAGTTCTATCACGGCACTTCTGCGTCGACTCAGGGGTGTGCGCATACCGCGCGCACTCTTCGGCGGTCCAAGATGCGGCACGCCATTTCGTTGGCTCGACGGTTGCAGGCAATTGCTTATTCGACATGGCGAGCAGAAGATGCGGTCAGAAAAGACACGCACTTCCAACAGGCACGACGATCAGGCAACAGGCACGACGATCGCCTTTCTATCTTTCTCTTCTCTCTGCCTCTGCCATATTTGGTGAAATTTGACTTCCAAACTTCCTTCGATTATTTATTTATGTGGGAATAAAACAATAATAAAAAGTAGATGGCAGAAGTGAAGCCGGTGCCCACACTCAACAGACCTGCGACTGTGGCGAGCTCTTGGCTCTTGATGTTAATGAAAAGATCCTCTTACACGGCACATCACGGCACAGCTTGGGACAACGCCAATTCCATTGTTCGGGAGGCCTTCGGCCATCGAACTTGCGAGAGTGCTTTCTATGGCAAATGGAAGTGCAGATTGCTCGTGTGGCGCTGGCTGATTCCTACATTCAACAGAAACCAAGAAGACATGGTTCATCTGGCACCTATGATTCTATTGTTGTAGAGCCTGGGTTGGTCAACGGCCATCACAACAAGCAGCAAGTTCATCAATAATTAGTGTAGCGCGGTGTAATTAAATGTAAATAATGTATAGTAGTGTAATTAGTGTTGCGTCATGTTGCGTACTATGTTTGTATTTTTAGCAGTAGTGGTAGTGTAGTGTAGTGGTAGTTGTACTGGTAGATGTAGTTGTCTATCTATTTATCTATCTATCTGCAATCTGCAAGCTCGAAAACGAAGCTATTCTGCGAGACTTCCTCCATATTTTTACTTGACAGCTTCAAAAACGAAACAATTCTGCGAGACTTCAGCTGACAACATCAAAAACGAAAAACTTCTGCGAGACTTCCTCAATTTTCGAAGTTGACGACATCAAAAACGAAAGACTTCTGCGAGACTTCCTCAATTTTCGAAGTTGACGACATCAAGAACGAAAGACTTCTGCGAGACTTCCTTCAAAAATGGAAAGATCAGTGCAGCGCTGACACCCTCGTGCCAATGCGTTTTGCGATTTTTCTACTCCACCTATCTAAGGTACTGCGCCTGCCACGAAAAATTGATGCCAGGTCATACGAAGTGCTGCACCTGTCACGCAAAATCATCTTAGCAAACCTACACTTCTGATATTCCAAAGTGCAACCCCTCTCAGAAATCAGCGCCCTGACCTCCCAACCTCTCTCATGAACATGTCTTTTGTACTGCGCCTGCCATGGAAAATGCATCTTTGCAGAGCATCTTCAGATGTCCCATGCTTGCCATCGTTTTTCGAAATGCCACAAAACCCTCACTTTTGACAAGCTGCACAATTTCTTGCGCCTGCCACGTGAAACGACATCTGAGCCTCCAAAAGTGGTCAGAACCCTTGGTGCTTTTAATATTTTGACTTGGAAATGTGCTTCGCGCCGCAACGGCGTGCACTTTTTCGACATCTTAACTTCCAAAACTGGTCGGAAGCTGGTGTGTTTTGTACATTTTCACTTCGAAATGTGCTTCGCGCCACAACGGCGTGCACTTTTTCGACATCGCAACTTCCAAAAGTGGTCCGAACCCCTAGTGTTTTTAACATTTTGACTTGGAAATGTGCTTCGCGCCACAACGGCGTGCACTTTTTCGACATCGCAACTTCCAAAAGTGGTCCGACAGTGGTCTGTTTTGTACATTTTCACTTCGAAATGTGCTTCGCGCCACAACGGCGTGCACGTTTTCGACATCGCAACTTCCAAAAGTGGTCCGATAATGGTGTGTTTTGTACATTTTCACTTGCAAATGTGCTTCGCGCCACAACGGCGTGCACTTTTTCGACATCGCAACTTCCAAAAGTGGTCCGACAATGGTGTGCTTTGTACATTTTCACTTGCAAATGTGCTTCGCGCCACAACGGCGTGCACTTTTTCGACATCGCAACTTCCAAAAGTGGTCCGACAATGGTGTGCTTTGTACATTTTCACTTGCAAATGTGCTTCGCGCCACAACGGCGTGCACTTTTTCGACATCGCAACTTCCAAAAGTGCTCCGAGACCCAGGTGTTTTGTACATTTTGACTTGCAAATGTGCTTCGCGCCACAACGGCGTGCAATTTTTCATCTCTCATCTGGCCAGCTGGCTCCGCACCTGCCGCTTTAGCGAGCCTACTTTTCGACCCTCCGGAGCCCCAAATCATTGGAAAAACACAGTGTTTCGAGACTTTCCTACCTTTTCTCGCATCTGCATCTTCTTTCTTCTTACTCTTTCTCTTCTACTCTTCTTTCTTCTTATCTTTCTCTTCTCTCTGCCTCTTCCCTGCTCTGCTTTTCATCTGTCACTGTCCATATTGTCGGAAGTTTGACTTCTAAACTTCCTTCGAATATATATATATATATATAGATAGATAGATTGTTTTGGTTTGATGTGGGAAATCGCGCCTCTAGCCAAGATGTTTTGCTCTAGTAGGGTGCAGTGCGAGGGCGCCTCAGTCACCTTGCGGATCCAATTTAGGCCCATGCTCGCTTGGGGTGAATGTCCAGTGTTCCATGCATCAAATCGCATATACGGCTCTATGGCCCCCAGCTGCCCAAAGTTGCAGTCGGCGCCTTACCAAATCCACACATGCACCATTGCCAAAGCCCTTCCTCCCTTACAGTTTATTAATTGTATTATTGAAAGTGGTTTCCTCTTGCGTCTTTGCAGACCCCGCAATAACATCTGCAATGATAACAGCACAATGCCACGTCGACCGCTTCTGATCTGTTTTTTTGGCCAGTGTGGACGCACGCGCTTTTTTCCACAACGCTTCCAGACATTTACTTCACGCGTGCCCTTGTCTGTCTGCCAGCGGCTGAGTACTCAAGAGCGCGCGTTTTGCGCTATACATCTTGAAACGCGTTCCTTTGTATTTTCTTAGTCCTCCCAAAACGTTGCGTTGATGAGCTGGCGAGGTGGGCGGCGCAGATTGGCTTGGCTTTGCAGCATTGCCATCTCCACGGGGTGCTTCATCGGGATGTGAAGCCTGAGAACTGCTTCTTCAGATCGACAGGAGACGGTCAAACGGATCTGTCACAGTTTCGCGCGCGATGTGCCATTGGCGCTCACATGTTGGTTGGAACCTTTTGGCTGCAGCATGCCAAGACTTTGCAGGATCATGGATTTTGTATATACATGAAAAGGGTTTGCCGTGATGTTTTTGTCAGCGATGGTTCGAAGTCTTCACGTTCGGCTTTTTGATGCCAGAGCCTTTTCTTTCTCTCTTTGACGTTTTGTTTTGCAATCCGGCCCCTTAGGAGGAGATTTACTGCTTGGAGATTTTGGCATTTCCTGCGCATTAGATGAGTTCCTCAGCTGTGTCGTAGCCGGCTCATCGCCCAGAATGCAATGCAGATGATGCCCATCCATGGCTAAGTGAAGTTACCAATCAGTGGTTTTTGAATTTGCGGTGCGTTCTTTTGATTCTGTACCCGAGCGCTGAAAGCTTGACGCCATGCCTTGGATTCTTTTGGACGCTGATGAGAACCAAATACGAAAAGTTCTTACGTGAAATGGAAAACGCATTTTTCAATGCAGAGCCAAAGGCCACGAAGGTAGCTCGTCATTAGCATTTTCAAAATTGCTTGAAATCAGCTGCAATGTGCTTGCTTAGCGCCGGTCCAAAATCAAGATTTAGAACCCAAACCGGCAGAAAGCGTCCGCGGTGTCTTTCTCAAATGGTTGGCGTCGGCGCCGAAAGGCAAAGCAGCGCGTTGGAATTTTTGGGGTTGGAAAGGGACGCTAGAAGCGCGTCCACATGGGTTCCTGCCGCAACTTTGCGGGTTTGTTGCAAGGCAAAAATTTGCGAAGACTTGCTGCGGCTCGCCTCTCAATCTAAGTCCAGAGATTGTGAACCAAGAGCCGTCGCTTGGCTATAGGGTTATGAATTGTCCTTGTCTAGCGATACAAAACCCACTTTGTCCTGGCGACGCGAATTTGGTTGACCCTTCTTGGCTTATATTTTGGAGAGACGCGGCAGTTCTCCTGCCAAGGTATTCGTATGCCTCGGATGTGTGGAGTTTTGGCGTGACCATCTATGAAGCCGCCATGCTGGCACCACCTTTTCGCGGAAGCAATATCTGCCAGGCACGCCCTACGCAAACCGGCGCCAGATCAAGTTGAAGAGCTAGATGGGACAGACATGCTTGCCAAGTTCGATGCATTTTTGATTGGGCTCTTGGAGGAAGTTGTTTTTCATGTTTTTTCGTGGTTGGGCGTGTTTGCTCCACTGCAAGGTCGCCTTTCGCATTGTCAGCTGTACCCCAGAGCCTCTTCCATCTGCAAGTCTGCAGGGGCTGGTTGAAGGCCTGCTGGTTAAGGACCAACGCTTGTTGCATTTTAGGATTCTAGCTTGTCGCCGCAGCAGACCAGCAGGCTTACCTCCTCAGGCCAGTGATACTTCAGTCTTTGAACCAGTTTTGATTTGCTCGCTTAACATGCAATGCCTTTGCCTGACAGGACCCAACCCAGCGGAGTACCCTGCGCAGCGCTTTGACGTCGCCGCCACTTGTAGGCGCCGTGCAGTTGCTCACGGGGCCCCTGCCAGCACAGGCCAGGAACATTGAGATGCACCAAGCCCTGCGATTGAGCATGCTGCACATCGTCCATCCTGCCACCCTTTCAGATGGAGCACGCGAGCGGCTTTGTGCACCGGCTGCGCCACACAACGCGCAGCGAGGACCATTGCCATAACCGCCCGTGGGACTGCAATCCCTTGCCCCAAGTTTCCGACCGCGTGAATTTGCCAAGACGTTGGAAAGCAAAAAGTAATTGCCCCAGTTTTTATAATTTTGTTCTTAACCTGGCCCAGGTATTGTCTTTGGTAACGCGCCGGGTCAGAGATGCCTGTCGGTCGCCAAACCTGCAAGCGGTCAAAGAATTATATGCCACAAGGGAACATGGGGCAAGACATTAACTAGCGCAACCCAAAAAAACGCCATCAATGTGGGACATCGAAGCCTTTCCCCTCTGTGCCCAGACAGGAGGAGTACCCGGATGACTTTGAGGCAGGCTGTGGCTCAAAGCAAGAGCGCGGCTGCCCTTGAACTGTCATTGCTTGTGCGAAATCTATTGAAGCATTGCTGCCCTTGACTTTCCTTTGCGGATATATTCACGGGAACCAAGACTGGTAAGAGACCGCCCACCGTTTGAAGGATGGAAGCGTGGAAAGCGATGGCGAAAATTTAGAGATCAGCGATGGCTCCTATGCTCCTTGGCAAAGTGTTCTGGGTGGCTATTGTGAGCTAGTTCCGCTCTAGGGACAGCGCGGCTGTTCATTCAGTCATTTGGCGCGGCTTTGTCTCCGCAACAGGTTTAGCTTCTGTTCCAACATGTTTTGAACCTGCTGCCTTCGGACTGAGCATGGGCAATGTCGCAATCCAGATCTTCAGGAATTGGATTTTGAAGACCCATCAGAGGATGAAGTCCGGCCACCTGAGCTTTCCGAGGACAGGTCAGGGCGCCGTGTGTGGCAGCTCTCCGGCATGGGGCTCCCCCCGATATTTGTTCGCGCTTGCTTCACCCAATATTACGCCCAGAACTCATGCAATCATGCAAATATACTTTGGTTCTGCAGTGCGGAAAAGCCTTCCTGCAAAAGGCATTTCAGGCCACAATGTCTCTATGGATGGAACAGAAAGCGACGCTATGTGGATCCACACCGGTTTTTGCGCAGCCTCGGGTTTTAACTTGGGGATATTCAGCATAAAGGGATGATGGACAGCTTTATCAAAAATTATAGGACCGGATAACCCCACATGTTACCAACTTCTCTAGACTTAGACTGAGCATAGAAAAGGACGAAGGGAAGAGGAAGTATAAGAGTGATGGAGGGGTGATGGTGGGTGAGTTTTTGTGTGTGTGTCCACGCCTGTCTCTAAGGTTTTCACGTTTTTATCCGCAGGGGTGGCTGAAAGCCAAAAGGACCTTGAGTCTTTGAATGGCGAAGTCAGCGAAATGGAGAAGCAAGTTCAGCTTGCAGGTGAGTCTAGAAAGAAGGAAAATGACAAGTTTTCACGTTTTTATTTTTATTTTGCAGGGGGCGCAAGAACCTTTGGTGCGTCTTGCGCCAACGAAGACACTCACCATTGGTTGTGTAAACGTACCTGCAGGCACGCCATGGGCACCGTCGTGCGCAGCTTGGGTGCCAACCCAAACATCAATTTTTTAACCCGGTAAGCTTAGCTCACAGACTAAGCGATGCCTTTGCTGCCATTACAAATGGACAACAGACACTAAAGACGAAATGTCAAACATGACTTCTCAAGTGTGTGTATGTATGTATGTATGTATGTATGTATGTATGTATGTATGTATGTATGTATGTATGTATGTATGTATGTATGTATGT